TTCATAATATAATCCTAAACTATATTGTGCAAATTTATTTCCATTTTCTGCCGCCTTTTTAAACCAATAAAATGCCATCTCTAAATTTTTTTCGGTTCCTTTACCTTGATCATATAGTAAACCAAGGTTATTTTGTGCGTAATTATCTCCACTTTCGGCTGCGTCTTTGTATAATTCAAATGCCTTTTCTTTATTAATCTCGGTTCCAATTCCTTGATCATAGCAATGCGCGACTTTAGATTTCGCATTTAAATATCCATCTTCAGCTGACTTTTTATAAAATTTAAAAGCATTAATTTCATCTTTGTTAACACCATTTCCATATTCATAGCATCTTCCTAAATTATATAGTGCAACTTTACATCCATTTTCTGCTGCTTCTTTATACCAATGAAATGCTTGTCTCATATCTATTGTCGTTCCTTCACCTTCTTCGTATTTTACTCCAAGTTTATATTGTGCAAATATATTTCCTTTATCGGCTGCATCCTTGTATAACTTAAATGCCTTTTCTTTGTTAATTTCAATACCAATTCCCTTATCATAGCAATATGCAACTTTATATTGCGCATCTAAATACCCTTGTTTTGCTGCACATTTATAAAATTCAAAGGCTTTAATTTCATCTCTTTCAACGTTCGTTCCATTTTCATAAAACGTGCCCAAGTTATATTGTGCAAATTTATTTTCATTCTCTGCGGATTTTTTATACCAGTAAAAGGCCATTTCCAAGTTATTTCTAATTCCGATACCATGTTCATAACATCTCCCCAGATAAAATTGTCCAAGAACGTTTTCACATTCCGCAGCTTTTTGATACCATTTAAAAGCTAAACACTGATTCTGTTCTATTCCATGTCCGACATTAAAACATTGGGCAAGATAAACTTGAGCTAATGAAAAGTTCTCTTCGGATGCTTTTAAAAATAAGTGATATCCATTGCTTTTATTCTCTTCTGTATTAATATAATAATTAAATAATCCTAAAAACCAAATATATTGCGCTTTTACTTGATTTTCTGATAACCATTTTATGATTTTATTTATATCTTGATTCAATCGCTCTATTTGTTGATCGACGAAATGTTGAACTTGATCAAAATTAATACCTTTATTATGCTTTTCAATTATTATCTTAATTAACTCATCAATAGTAACGGCAAACGTTTCAACAATTTCATGACATTGTAAGCTTGAAATAGTATCATCTTCAATGAAATTTGTTATTATTAAGTCCTTGTTTATATCTGAAATTTCTTTGCTTAATTTCACATCGAAAGTGATTTGGTGGTTTGTTCTTTTTTCCGCCAAAAGACTTTGTGTTTCTGCGCTCAACAACGGCACATTATGGAACTTTACTTTAAGGGATTTAAGGGCCGAAGCAACTTCCTGTATATTTGGGCGCTCGTCGGGTTCACCTTTCCAACAATCTAATAAATGAATGAACAAAATTATAATTCTTTTTTTTTTTTAAAAAAAAAAAAAATTGCTGAGCGTTATTAATAATAATATGACAAACCCATATATAAGTTGCTATATTCAATAGGGGTTTTATCAATAACTTCCTCTCTTTCCCCTGCTTGTATAGCTAACGCCAAACTTATGTCATATTTTGTACCATCAGGATAAAATGGTCGACGACCGCTTGAAATTTGCCACATAAGAACTCCAATACTATAAACGTCAGATTTTTTATTAAGCTTGTAATTCTCGCTTGGATTATTAATATTATTTTTATTATTGAACATTTTTGGATCCATATAAGGAACTATCCCAAATATTTCCATAATGCTATTTGTTTCTTCAATTTTGTTTGATAATCCAAAGTCTGCAAGCTTAATACTCTTTTGATGTACAAGTATGTTATCTGCATGCTTTAATTAAATTAAAATAATTCAGATTTTAAATTATTATATGGTCATTGTATTTACAAGCATATAACGTTTGACAGAATATTACCAGATCACGATGAATAATGTTACTTTCGTGTAAACATTCTATAGCATTCGCCAATTGCAACGCCAGGCCGATTTTGTCATACCATTTAAATTCATCAAAATGATCGTTTAGATAGCTGTTTAACGTACCGCTATCAGCATATTCCAAAACCAAAGTGTAATTGCTCATTTCGTCTAATGAGAAAAAAAAAAAATTTTTTTATTTAACATCAAATTAATTTGACGTAAATATAAAATTATTATGATACTTATACTTACCAGGATCTTTCTTTGTGATTCCGTAAAATTCTAATATATTTTGATGAAAATGAACGGTACGATGTAATTTTAACTGTAATGTATAAAATAAAAATAGCGATTAATAAAGTGTTTAATCAATTAACGAGTAGCTTTAATATAATTATAAACTTCTTACCTCTCTGACAATTCCTTTAAGAGTTGATTTTTGATTATTAAACGATTTTAAGGCGAATACAGTATCTGTATTTTTCCAATTGGCACTAACAACACTTCCAAATGAACCACTACCTATCGATTGTATATTTTTGAAGTCCGAATACTCATAGTATTTGATATGTTCTTTGGCGATTGCTTGTTTTAACCAGGCATCATCATTTGAATCTTCAACGCTCGACATAATTTTTTTTTTTTTTTTTTTTTTTTTTTTTTTTTTAAGGAAGAAAAAAAGAGAACTGGCGAAAATAAAATACGTAGTTCAATATGAATTTGTCATTGTTGCACCATACAAATATGGACTTTCATTTGAAAGCGAATAAAGAACAATTTGTTTTATTATTTAATCATTTTCGTGTAACCATCATTCATTTTTTTTTTGTTCCTTCCTTTTGCAAAAAATAAAATATTTTTTAAAAAAATCTTGAAAAGATAATCATTAAATTAAAAAAAACTTATCATTGCTAAAATTGAGTTATAATAAGAAACCTGTCATTATTTTGAGATTTCAAAAAAAAAGAGAGATAAAATGATGTCGTGAATAGAGATATTACACAAACCTGGTTTCGAATATGGGTTGATTGCTAGGAAAATCAGGTTCCGGGAATTTGGTAATTTTTTAACAAAATTGAGATTTTTATTGCAATTTAGTTTTTGATGTTATTAGATTAAAATGCATTAAGCTCTTAATTTTAGTCAAAAATTCTCGGAACCTGATTTTCCTAGAAATCCTCCCATATATGTATTCAAGGTATAATATGGTTCCTAATAATATACGTACATTCAAACCATACAATACAGTTTGCTATATACCCGTGAATAGTCAATTTTAACGCGATTTCTTGATTACCTGTCTGAATTGTATCGGAGGATATTTCAATTCTACTCAAGAATCTCTGTTGGTATCAAATGATTTTTTGCATTACACGTCATCGACACAAACTAACAAATGACGGCCGTCTTTGTTTTGTTCGGAACTTCTAACGGTTTCCGTTTCCTACCTAGTACAGCAAAATCCATAATACGGGACACCTAGAGAAATCAGCACACTCGGCAAAACTTGATAAAGCTCAGAATAAGGCAAATACACATTATATCGTTAGATTTGGAGCACTTTTCGAATAGTTTTTATTTTATTCTGAGTCATGCCGAACCTTATTGAGTTTCTTTTGAAAGCGTGACCCATTAAAGTTTTAAAATAAAAGATTTGTTGTGATCGTATGATTTTAAATTTCAGATACCAATACAGAAATATCTCAAAGTTCCTATCTGAAAATAAAAAATTTCAGATGAATTACAATTTCAGTTAAATTCATCAACAAAATATCAAATATCATCCGGATGAATATTGATTTTTTTTTAAAAATTTCAGAATATACAAATATATAATGCTATCAAATAGGGAGAGAGTATGCGGATTTCTATATGTAACTTTGTTTCTTTCTGTCTATACGCCTATCTACTTTGCTAATTATGAGATTTTCACCACTATACACTTTTTCTACACTAGATTTTCAAAATAAATCCACCTATATCTATGTATATTGATATCATTTAAACCCACACATACCATATAAAGTATTAAATTACACAACAAACTTCACCGAGATGGAAAATTTTGAACATATAGCAGAAATTCCAGAGATTAGCAATTGAGATAAAAATAAACAATGCAATATTTCCGATTCACATTTACCACTACAATCATTTTCGCAGCATTCCATTCTGTCTTATATTCATGAAATTTGTTGCTTAATGTGAAGATATATTTTTGATTTTTTTATCTCAAGTACCATTCTGCGTCAAACATCAAGAATAATATACTGCATCAAATTACTGCCTAATAAATATTATGTCAGATTTTGGTAGCTGAAATTAAAGTTATGTGATTTTTCTCGGTATTTCACGAGCATCCTTAATCTAAGGTGGGGGTAGACCTTTATCCTAAACCGGGATGGGAACGGTCCGATCCGGTCGGATCTGGTCCGATCTTTAGCAGTCATTGAAAAAAGATCGGATTGAGAATGGTCTCATAAGATCCCGTCGATCTAACAAAAAAAAAAATTTAACATATTTTATTGAATAATGTTCAAAATTAAAATTACTCCATATATTGATACCCTCCGACCCATCATTTTTTTTTCAATATCCTTATTTAATTTGTCCTTCAATAATCCAATTTGACAGCTTTAATTTTTAGTCTGAAGGTTGAGAATGAGTGGAAGCTAAGGAAAGAAAAGAATCAGCTTCGCTAATATTCAGACGACATTTTTTGATTGTAAATTCAAAATTTGTTACACTTGGCGTAGTTTATCGTTTATAAAAAGGATAAGACGAAAAGACCATCTTTATAAGACCGGACCGACCCTATGATCAATCCTGTCGATCCGTCCCAAAAAAGATTGGTATAAGACCGGTCCTATGACTGGACCATTGTTCTTTCGGTCTGGATGGGATCGTTCCCATCCCTATCTGTGCGTCATTAATGAATTATACTTTTAATATATTTAAACTATTGATCGATCATATTAATTAATTTTATTGTTACGATCTCATTTAGATATTTCTTTTTCTTATTGTTTATATTTAATGCACTTGAAGACATTATTAACAATATACCTGGGTACGACTTATTTGGCGAAAAGCTTACCTCGAGTAATTCACCATTTTTTTTTTTCAAACATTTTTACAACCTTTTGTTTTTTAAAAAAAAAAAAAAATTAACAAATCTCTGATTATATAGGTATCCCCATTCTTTATCAATTATGTTGTTCTTCAAGTTTTTCGAAGGCAGCACTCCACCACTTATGGATTATGGACAAGAATTAGCACCTATTATGCTGGTTTTTGTTCTTGTTCTTGTATATTCATCACTTGCACCAATAACCCTTTTTTTTTTTTTTTGGCACAATTTACTTTTTCTTTGGCTAAATATTTATTGTTATATGGTATGTTAATTTTGTTTTAATTGTACATTAAATTAATGAATTAATTTATTTAGTTTATAGTATCAACCACCCTTATGAATCTTCTGGACTTTCATGGCCAAAGATCCTTCCGAAGAATTATGGTTGGCGTATATATTTTTCAACTATTAATGATTGGATATATGTCATTGAGGAAATCATTTCATTTTGCTGTAATAATCGTGCCCCTTTTTGTTATTACGGGTGTTTGCTCTTATCATGTGAATGGAGCATATGATAGAAGTTCGAGATTTATACCATTGGAAAGCATACGTGAAGATCAAAAAAATTATCTAAAGTTAGATTTGATGTCAAGTCTAGACCAAGTTCACAAGGTTCCGGCAAAAAAGTAGCGGTAGTTGACGCTCCGATAGGAAGTTCGGCTAACACCTCATCAAATCTTAATGAGAATAACAACAACGAACTAGTACGAGACGTATTAGAAGATGATTTATATCGTGCAGAACCATATTTATATACAGATTATATTCAACCTTCGATGACACAATATAATGGTGTACTTCATACAGGGATGAGAAACTATATATCTCCATCATTAGTAGGAGTTTACCATAGTTATGGCTTCCGGTTAAAAGGTCAAAACAAAGATAATGAGAATACTTATGGAGGATTTATTAGACGATTATTGGGAATGAATAAAAAGTTTCACAATCGGAACAAACTGATAGTCCATCAATTGAACATGATAGACAACAGATGCAAGAATGAACGCGGCTATAGAAGATGCTGGAAATGGTACCGGTGCGGAATTGCCTGGCTCTTTATCAGGACATGGAGCTGATGATTTTATTGAACAAATTATGGAAGAATCTGAGCAAATGATTACATCAAGTGAAAAGCCAAGTACATCAACTTAACCAGCATTTCAAAGAAAAATATTCCAAATTACGTTATACCGAACGAATACCTTCCTGTGAAGTCATATAAAGACTCTTTGCAAATTTTGAAAGTTTCTCATTGAATTCTTCATGTTCCCCTCGAAAATATATCGAAAAAAAGTGCTCCAAACGTTATAATCTCATTGTGAAGTAAATCCGATCAAATTATTTTTAAGATATGACGCGATTAATTTATTCCATCCAATCAGATCATTCTTATATTGAATTCGTTGCTTCTCAGCTTCTGTCGAACCCACAAAGAAGTTTTTTTCATTCCTTCATGAAAAGAATGTTTTGGAGTCCAATTTAAATACTTCTTGGACAAAGCGTTATCGGAGATTCTATTGTTCACATTGATAGGCTTGTCTTGGACAATTCTCAAAGTTGCCGTATTACGTGATACGCCAATTGTTTCAAACGCGACATATGCAAGTTCTTCTATGCTGATTGATTCTTTTGAATCAATGTTTAGTGTAAGAGCCAAATCACATTCCATGAGTTTGATAACTGCCTCGATGCAATCTTCTATATACAAGAAATTACGTTGTTGTTTTCCGTCACCCCAGATTTCAATATCATTTTCTCTTTCTCTTGTATAAATACTCGAACAAAGAGCTTTTCTTAATAATCAGCGGGAGCTTCCTCTTCCTCATCATACCAAGTATTGCCTTCTCCATAAACGTTTTAAAATATTGCAATTTTGAATTGAGCAAAATTTTGAGTAATTTGTCTATCTTCCAATAAGGCAGATGATTCCATTAAACCGGACCGGATATAAGTTCAGTATTTAATTTTTCTTCTTCATAAGACTCTTTGAGTTTCGTTAATTTAATTTCATTATTACAATGATAAATGCAAGCGGTTGAAGCATATAAGAATTTATCAATATTTGAATCCATCGAAACTTGAATAATATTTAAAGACATTAATAATTCTCAATTCTCCTTTATTGACTGCAAAATGAAATACAATTTTACATCGTTTTTAATAAATAGTTTACGGCAAGTATCAATTGAACGGATATCTTCGATGAATTCCGAATAGGATTCTGGAGTGCTCTTGAAAAGACGAAATGTTGGGTCATCACGCAAATCGACTATACGAACGTAGTGCCCTTGATCATGTAACCGTTTCGTTACATATCTTCCCTGAAGACGATTATATTCATATAGTATTTAATTCGCATTCTTTTGTATTTGTGCTTCCAGTTTAGGTTTTCGATATTTCATTTTCGGCAAAAAAAAAAAAAAACTTAACGTACATATAATCATTTCCTCCTGTGACTAAAATCACGCGTTTGTCCGGAGTTTCGGCAATCATCTTTTCGCACGTGAAAAAGCATTTCTTTATACCTAGTGTAAAAATTATATGATGAAACTTTATACTGCTTGAAACCAATTATCTTTTCAACCGGTAAGAATGAATTCCAACCAAGGGCAGAAGTTTCGAGATAAATAATATATACTGTTTATCACCATCGTACTAGTGTAGTTATTCATAGATTTAAATTACTTGTAGGAATTTATAATATAATTTATATAAAATCAAAATTTTTTAAAAGTTAAAAAATATTTTTTAATGTCAAAAGAACATAAATGGGTCGTTTGTTATTAATAATCAATTTTATGAACATGATTTAATTTCGAACCTTCAAAAATAAATTTAAATATTAATATATCAATTTTTTTTATTTTTCGTCTAAACTTTTGCATCTTTTTTTTTTTTTTTTTTTACAAAATAGAAATGGAAATAATTTATCTTTATATTTTTAAGGATTAAAATAGCGGTTGTCAAACAAATGAAACATTTGAAGCAAAAAATTTAATAAAATAAATCAAATTGTATTTTTAATTTAAATTAATCAAAAATTTTATTAAATATTATTATATAAATTTATTATATTTCAATTATAAATACATCTTTGTTTCCCTCCTATAAATGCCCATTACATTCCCAAATCCCATCCATCCTTAATTAAAAAATTAAAAAATAAAAAGAAATTAGAAATTATTTCAAAAATCAAAAACCAAAAATTAAATTAAATTCAAGGAAGAATTTAAATCTATACCATAATATCCTCCTCGCTCCCGATTTTCTTTCTTCAAATTCCAATCTCCATACCGTTCCGCCGCCCTTCCTTCCGCCGCTTGAGAATTTTTATTTGAAAATTTTCAATTAGTATAATCAAATTAGTTTCAAAAAAAAAAAAAATTCAATAAAAATACACACTAACCGTAATATCCTCGTTTTCAATTTTCTTTCTTCGGATTCTGCCGTTCCGTCCGTCCGTCCGTCCGTCCGTCAGCCGCTTGAGAATAGTAAAAAATATACAACAGGACACCGAGGGTTATCCCACGATATATATTTACACCGCCTAAATCAGACT